GCTGCGTGCCCACCCCGCGCCCTTCATGGATGTCTCAGCGGGGCGGCGGTCCCCGGGTCTCTGTGGGCCAGCAGAGGCCGAGGCCATCAGGGACCACCTCGCCGCCCTCCTTGCCCACCTAAGGGCCGCCGAGGCCACCGCCACCGGCCCCGTGTCCTCCAGCGAGGTCGTCCCCGCAGGCTGGAACCTCTGCACCATCGTTGGGGTGCTGCTGGGCTACCCAGTGGCGTACGCCTTCTCCGTGGAGGAGAGCACCGAGAACTGCCTGGCGCTGGCGCCGCTAAGGGTGTTCACGGTCCAGGCCTCCTGCCCCAGGATAAAGAATGGTCTCAGGGTCCAGATCTACTCCTTCAGCATCCCGGAGAGCCTCTGCGCGGAGCTGAAGGAGGTGCTGGACGCCTGGTGCGATGAGCTGAAGGAGGCCTTCAGTGTGCAGAATGACTTTGTAGATCTCTGCATTTTGAGCAAGGTGGTGTCTCTTCCAGCGGTTGCCTTGTAAAACCCAGACAAACTCAAGACTCTGGTTTATTTCTCGCTTGTATCAGGGACTGAGGTGAGAGACCCAGTTCGTGTAAGTGCAGCCCACTGAGGCTCTAGGAGGCCCATGAGCAATAAAGGCTGAATTTTGACGATCTCGGGTCCCCGACCTCGTAGGCCAGTTGCAAATCAAATACGTGTACTTCCCAGAAGACCAGTGTGTGGATGTACGCGCTCACAGCTGCAGTGCAGCCTCCGTCCGGGCTGCGGAGTGTGCCCTGTAAAGTCAGGGTGTTATTTATTTGCTGCGAACAGCTGAGGATTAATAAAAAATGTGAACACCACAGTATTCTGAATTTGTGAAGTTCATTGAAGGCTTCATATCATATTTACTACTTGAGCAAGGTGGCGTCACGTGCAAGGGGCAAGTGCTACCATAAAACCTGCACAGTGCAGCTCCAAAAGGGGCTTAAAACTCCTCTCTCTGTCAAATTAATGTGCTGCTGGCAGTGAAAGGGAAGTGGACGTGGCTGTGGGGATGCTTGGCCACGAGACAGGCTCAAAGAGCGGTGGGCCAAACTGGGCCTGGTGGGTGGGAGGTGGGAAAGTTGCTCAGGACAGGCAGTGCACGGGGGGAATATGAGGGGACTGTGCCAAAAAGCCTCCCTGAGCTGGGTTTCTTTGTCAGGTATCAGTAGAGATGGTCCAGGGTCAAATACCTCCCATTTAGAGAGGCAATAAATAAAGGAAGAGAATTTTGTAGTCCACTCAGCCGCTGGGCACGAAAATCAGGGAGGCTGGATCCTGAGGGCGCAGGGTGCCTCATCCCTGCTGCCCTGTCCCTCCCGCCCCACGTGAGCCCCGGGAGCGGTGGTTGGAGTGGCTTTGTCCCTCAGTGCCGCGGGGACTGGGCAGCACAACCTTCAACTGACGCAGAATAAGCAAAGCAGCCGAGGGAAGGAGTGATCTCCCAGCGTTTATTGGAGCTGTGGGAGCTTGTCTGGAGTGAGACCAGCTCAGGATATGAACCAAACAGGCAAGTACACAACAGCAGACGGTGCATTGGGGCAAGGGTGCGTTGCTGTTGGAGAAGTCAGTTCTTGCAGTGAGGTCGGTCATTGAGAAGGTCCTTCATGGTCTGTAACTTGCGAGGAAGGTGGCTATGGCCATCACTATCACTGCCACCAGGAGAGGGATCCAGTGACTGTGTCGTCTCTGCAAGGAGAAGCAAGTGTTACTAGGAAATTGGTGGGGAGAAGAAACATCTCATCTCATCCCTAGCAAACATGTCATTCATCTTTCCACGCTGCACAAATAAATGGGGGAATTTTTCCCAGACCGATCTGCAGCCTCGGTCCGAAAGCACTGGGAGTCGGGGTGAGGAACACCTCCCACCTTTGCCTGCTTGCTCTGGAAGTGGTTGAGCTCGTCCCGGCACTGGCGCAGCCTGGTCAGGCAGGAGCGGTACTCCTCGCTCAGGGCCTCCAGCTCCGAGCGCAGCTCCGTGCACTGCAAGCAGAGCGAGGGGCCGTTAGCAGGAGGGCACCCCTCACTCTTGTATGCACCGAGAGTGGCAGGGCTCCCGCAGCGGCTGCAGCGCTTCGCCCATGCATGGGCACTGCAGTGACGGGGGATTTTCACTTCTGCTACCTGTATGCCCATATATACCTATAGGGGACAGAGCAGATCTCAGTGTTACTGGGAACGTGGTGACGGAGGCAATGCCCGGTCGGTTGCCATCGCATGACCTGCTTGGCTTTGCTGCCATCTTTCACATCACATAGGAGAAAGAAGCAATAGTTATTTTTATGACCATAGAAGTGTGCAGGTCAGGAAGAAGACGTGGAGTGCAAACTCGTGGCAGGGTTTGCCTCTCATTCTGAAATTCAGTCTGCATTTCACTGACTGCGAGAGCAATTGCAGAGTCCTTTAAACCCTCTGAGACGTGGAACACACGGGATGGGTGCCTTGGTTGTGCAACCTCAAAACCCAAGGAGTGTCTTTGGTCCAAACAGCCACGCGGTGCGAGACCCTGCTGCCCTCCCGGTGAGCGGTGCGTTAGCAGCAGCTGTGGAAGGAGGCTGCAAGAGCCGCCACGGCGGGGGCAGCTGGGATCCCCCAGCTGTTCCCTTTTGCTGTGATTGTGCTTTACAAAGCCCTTCCCCAGGTGGTGCTGGGTGATACCTGGGGCAGCTCTCACCAGCGTGGGTCAGTAGGACACGCTCTTCTCCTGTGTGGCTCTGAGTTCTGCTACAGTAAGTTATAAATCCTTTTTTATAAGTCCTTGCTATCTGAGCACTGCTGTAAGAGCTGTGGGGCTGTTGGCTAGTAGAGGGCACAGTTTGTGCTCCCAGTCTTGTGTCCTGAAACAGTCTTTTAGTTGGGAAAAAGCATGTAAGAGATCAGAAAGCTTTGAAGTTTTTTGCAGCCCAGTTGTAAGGGCATTGCTTCTGTTAGCAGACCTTTCCTGTTATCTGCAAGACTTTTTTTCTCCTCTCCTTCCTTTGTGCTCAAGGCTTTGGCTCTTAAAGCGTGGCTTTGGCTTTTCCCTGTGAGACTATGGAGATTCTCCTGTCTGTGAGAGTAGAAATGGGTTTGTATGGAGAGGGCTCTGCTACTACAGCCCTGGGCACTCAACAGTGTGTCTGGGGTTTAGCTGAGGCTGGTATCAGGATAAAAAAATCAGCAGAAAGAATCCTTACAGGAGGTACCAAGCTCGGGTTACTTCCAGGAGCTTTGGTGAGTTGTGTTGTGCTGCTGCTGGAGCACCCATGCCAGCAGCTCTCGTTCCCCAGCTGGAAACCCAGTCCCAGCCGTGATTCAGTGACTTCCTCACCTCGTTCTCCTTTGCTGTAAGCTGGGATGTCCTTTTCTGCATCTCATCCTTCAGGCTTTCTTCTCCCTCCTCCTCCTCCTCGGGGCGCTCTAACAGAGCGTTTTGTTTTTCCTTGGCAGGAGTGAGAGGTGGGGTCTGCGTGGTGAAAACCTGGTCTAGAAAACAGTCAGGCTTCTGATGAGAAACAGGTCCAGGCTTTCAGTTTGCTTTAGATCTTGTTTACTCAGCATAGTTTAAAGATAATATTTGTGTGCTACGCACACAGCAGAGGACACAGGAGCTGAGTTAGTTATCGTGGGCCTGCCTCTGCTGTAGCTACAAGTTAATCATCTCTAGAGGAATATTTATAATTAGTTGTCAGAAATGGAAGGGAGGGAGAGTTAAAATGCCTTTTATTACTTTTTTTCAAGTACAGCTGTAGTTGCAATCATAAACTGGAAAGTATTTTGCTTGGGAAAAAAATGGCATAGCCACTGAAGTACAATTTGCAATGAAATCCATTTATTTTTAAAGTGTTCACCATCATAAATACATTTACATTTAATGTTAACTAGCAAAGTATAACAACTCGCTTTGCGCAGCTGTAAAATAATCCTGTATTCTAAACCAAGGTAGGCTTCTCCTAGAGTAAGGTCTACTGTTCCTGTATCCAGTGAGAGGAGTGCTAGGTTACAAAGTTTGCTGACCTTTCCTTTGCACCATCGCCTCCTGGGTCTTCAGCTCGTTGGTCTGGTTCTCTATCAAGTCTGTGAACGTGAAAAGCCACTGTTACCATCGTCCACAGCGCTAACGCGGATCTCTTACTTTGCGCTTCCTTGTGTTACGTACTGTGCAAACGGCTGATTGTTGCCTCCAGCTCTACCTTCTGGTTTTGTTCTTTTTGCAGTTTCTCTGAAATAATAAGAAGAAAATCAAGGTTGATGTAAATCTCGTGCATCTTTATGCAAGGATGGCAACTTTCTCCACATGTGTTAAGCAGAGTGGTTACTGTTGGCTACACTGAACTTTCTTCTCTGAAGAGACATGATTTTTAGCTGTTAATTGCCCTTTCAGTTTTGGTAGCTTTTTCTAGTGTGCCTTACATTCTATTAATTTATGGCTTATTTTAAAGCTGTTTTGTATGAGACCTATTATGAAAATAGAACTGCCACCTACTTTTCCTTAACTGTGTTTTAAAATAGCCATGTGAAGTATGTGCGAGTTTCCTTCCCTCTATCTGAATTAGTACTTTCAGACACTAGTAGCTCCTATGTACACACTGCTAATCTCCTCCTCCACCAGGCAGCAGCAGCTCACACAGTAACGCTCAGGTGGCGGGGCATGCATTGCTGTGTTTGATGGGTCTGACAAGGATGCAAAAGTCCTCATCAAAGCTGAGGACTCATCTTTGATTTTTTTTTTTTTTCAGGTCTCTCATTCCATCCTTTTTTTTTTTTTTCTTAAAGTCATTTCACTTCTCTGAAGTCCTTTAGTCTAGTTGGAAATTGCTTTAGGAGCCCTTTGGAAACGAGAGGCTGTCTCAGCAAGCTGGGATGTGCAGCATGTTCAGAGAGAGTGTCTTGCACGTGTGTGTGTGCTTGGCTTTAAGGACCAGGATTTTAAGACTATTTTCCTTATATTCCCCCTTTCATTTGGAGGACAGACCCCTCCCATTCCCCTGCACATGATACCTTCGATGGCGCTGATGTGCTCTGCCTTCAGGTCGTTGTCCTCCCGCAAGGCGCTGGCTCGCTGGTGGAGCGCGGCGTGCTCGCTCTGCAGGCTGCACAGGGCCTGCTGGAGCTGCTCCTTCTGCGCGTCCGCTCGCTGGGGGCGAGAAGAGCCCCGACATCAGCCCAGCCCTGGCACCGCACCGCGGGCAGCCCGCGAGCACGCAGCTTTCTGGCAACAAAAGGCAACCTCAAGCGGAGAACTGTGTTGCACGTGTAGCTGCTGTGCTTCATCAAGCGGGACTTATATAGTGACCTCAACCTGGGGGCTTCTCTGATTGCAAACTGGAAAATGCGAACTCCCGTGGGCGTTATCCCTGTGGGGAACTAACGTACCTGCAGTTCGCTTTGCAAAACGTGGAAGCTGTTCTCAAGCTCGGTGTGTGCCATGGTCATCTTGGTCAATTCGGCTTTGAGTGTGGTGTAGTGCTCTTTCCAGAAGGCAAGGTCCTCTCTTGTCACTGCCAGGCTTCTCTGCAGAGGAGACAAGGACCCACGGGTGGGCTGTGACCCACTGCCCGGCCGGACCGTGCCAGGCTGCCCTGAACAATGTCCATGGGTGCTCACATCAGCTGGGTTGTGCGTGGGGCCGGGGCAGCGCTGCCTCCTCCTGCACCCGGGTTATGATAACCTGCGTGGGTCTGATGCCATCTGATGGACGCAGCAAATGCAGGCAGAGGGTTTGCTGGGGAACCCGAGTTCCTCTGCTGCTGGGAGGATTTAGAAGCCTAGTAGTATTTGGGATAAGACTGACTTGTTTTTCTGAAAATACCAGTTATCCTGTGGGTCAAAGCAAATTGCTACCTCTTGGGGAAAATGCATTTTCATATAAAAGAGCACCTCCAGAAAAAGCGTCTCTGGAGATCTCGTGCCCTGGATGTCTGTGTGTGTGCCGCTTGTTGCTCTGTGTGTGCAGCGCAGGGAATGAGGAGAAAGAAGGGATTACATTTAAAACTGCCAAACAGCAGTATGGTTCCCCAGCTTTGTGCTGGTTTTAATAACCTGATGTATGACTAACAAAATGAGCATGGGTTGCCACTAAACTGCTTTGGATTTTGCTCAGTAGTTAACAAAAAAAAATAGATTTTTTTTTTGCATCTTTGTTACTAATGGTAAGCTAGTCATTGCCTTTCCCTGAAATGTGGGGGCTCTTTGTCACAGTTGGACTAGATTAAAGCAAAGCCAGGTGAAAAGATGTGGCTTACTTGAGAGTTTTGCAGCTGCTGCTCTGTTTGGAGTTTGTCCTCCAGCATCTTCTGAAGAGCCTCTTTTGCCTTCTGCTCGTAGGTCTGCTTCTGGTCTTCCATCTCTATCAGGATCTTTTTCACACACTCCTTTGAGTAACTCTTTAAAAGAAGAATTAAAGTGCTTGATGGGTCTTATCTGACATACACCTAATCTTGTGAAGCCTGAATATTAGCAAATCCAGAGTGTGTAAATGCTACTGCTAATTTGCTGTGAAGCATTGCTTCAGCAAAGAGGAAAAATCATTTTCAGATCCATATCTAATCAGATGGCTCTAGAAACTGAGACCCAACCTAATTACATGGTTTGGTATTTTGTTTTCATGCCTTTCTGTGCCCATGTTTGTTTCTCAGCAATCAGATGTTACCTGGGTGCAGGCCTGCAGCTGATTTTCAAGTGCCCTTAGTTTACACTTCAGTTTATCTTCGTTCAGCTGACCCTGGGGAAGAAACAATGGAACTGATGTGTGGAATCATGAACTGTACAATATGCCCCCGATGTTTTGTTAGCCTGTGTTTTGATTCATTTTCTCCCTTTTCTTCATCTATAATATTGTGGCTAAATTTGGTCAAAGTCTTTTCAACACTCGGAGTTCAAGTAAGCCCTTCATGGTCCCCAAATAAAGGAGATGTGGGGGACGTAAAACTTTTGCACATTGACAATCTCTCCTGAGGCAGTTCCACTGGATACTGAGTGCAGGTACCTGCAGTGAGATGAGAAGTTAAAAGCAAGAGGATTTCAGGTTATTTCCCATCCAGACTAACCTGACTGGGTCTGGCAGAAGCGTAGCTGCTGCCTGTCCCCACGTACAGCCCTGTTCCCTGGCTGATGGTTCCTCCCTGCGCCGCTCCTTGCCTAAAGCTCCGGCTGGTGCTAAGGTCTTGCCTTGGTGCTAAGGTCTTGCCTTGGTGCTAAAGTCTTGCCTTGGTGCTAAAGTCTTGCCTTGGTGCTAAAGTCTTGCCTTGGTGCTAAAGTCTTGCCTTGGTGCTAAAGTCTTGCCTTGGTGCTAAAGTCTTGCCTTGGTGCTAAAGTCTTGCCTTGGTGCTAAAGTCTTGCCTTGGTGCTAAAGTCTTGCCTTGGTGCTAAAGTCTTGCCTTGGTGCTAAAGTCTTGCCTTGGTGCTAAAGTCTTGCCTTGGTGCTAAAGTCTTGCCTTGGTGCTAAAGTCTTGCCTTGGTGCTAAAGTCTTGCCTTGGTGCTAAAGTCTTGCCTTGGTGCTAAAGTCTTGCCTTGGTGCTAAAGTCTTGCCTTGGTGCTAAAGTCTTGCCTTGGTGCTAAAGTCTTGCCTTGGTGCTAAAGTCTTGCCTTGGTGCTAAAGTCTTGCCTTGGTGCTAAAGTCTTGCCTTGGTGCTAAAGTCTTGCCTTGGTGCTAAAGTCTTGCCTTGGTGCTAAAGTCTTGCCTTGGTGCTAAAGTCTTGCCTTGGTGCTAAAGTCTTGCCTTGGTGCTAAAGTCTTGCCTTGGTGCTAAAGTCTTGCCTTGGTGCTAAAGTCTTGCCTTGGTGCTAAAGTCTTGCCTTGGTGCTAAAGTCTTGCCTTGGTGCTAAAGTCTTGCCTTGGTGCTAAAGTCTTGCCTTGGTGCTAAGGTCTTGCCTTGGTGCTAGCCTTAGGAAATAGGCTGGGTCTGCGTTGCGACATCTAGCAGTTGGGCAGGGGGAGAGAGGGCAACAGTGATGACTGATGTTCCTTATGATGAACTCCTCTCGGTGTTAGTCAGGCTTCTTAGGGTTTGTGAAACCAGACTGCATGCAAATTAAGATAAAATTTCTAGCAAAGAGTTCACGTAGGCTGTTTCTCCACCACCAATACTGAGAATGCCAGCATTCTCTCTGCTTATTGCTGTTTGAAGCCAAGCCTCTGACAAAGAAACTCCTTGATGTTACAGGAATACCTGTTAGACCCCAACAAAACCAGATTCTCTGGTGTCTGAGCACTGTTTAAATTTGCACAAAAGTAAGTTTACTGTCCCAAAGAATAAGTCTTCCCAGTTCAGCTGTTGGTACAAAGTACTAATGGCTCCATCCTCTTAGAAAGTAGGTGGAATTTTGAAAAAAATTTTTATGTGAACTGTTACACCTAGTTCCCCTCTGCAGTTTATTCTGTTGCCTGCCTGCAAAGGCTCACGTTAGAGGGTGGTGGTACGGCCGTTGTGCACAGATGTAAATAACTGTACAAAGTACAAGGCAACAGAGCACCGGGGCCTTCCTACGCTTCAGAGCAGAAATGTGCTGGCAAACTCCTTTCATGGCAATGCAGCTTATAAATTGGCAAAAGAACATAGAGTATAAAGATTTCCCTAAATGGAATAAGCTGTCTGTCAGGGCTGTTACCAGAACAGCGTGGCAGTGAGGGGTGAGTGAGTATGTGCACGTATGTGGGAGGGCATAAGAAATTACGCTTCTGACCAGAGAAGTTATGTGAGCAAATCTTGGTCAAGCCTTTGTGTTGAAGATTATCTACATGAAAGGGGCTGCTTTAAAAAAGACCCAAAACAACCCCAAAACCAACCAAACAAAACGCCCACCCGCAACTAAACAAAACAACAACAATAAAAAACCCCTGTAGCCACCAGGATCAGATGGTGGTGGTTTCTCCTCCCTTCTGCAGTGTCCCCGGTGACACCGTTTGAACACCACCTGGGGATCCTTGCTAGAGAGCCCAGAGATGCCTACTGAAAGCGAGGCAGAGGAAATAATTAGGGCTATGTGTTCAAAATAATGCCCATTCTTGCAAAAACTGGATTTGAATCCTCTGTAGTCCTCGTCTTCAGAGAGTCTGAGGTTACCTGAACAGGCAGCTCCAAATCTCTTCCCGAACTCTCTTCTGCATTTCTGTACTGCTGTCACTTAAGTGCCATATAAGTGTGTTAAACTGGTTTTGGCTGACAGCTGTAGTGGCCTGGTTGCCCTATGATTGGTGAATTCTCTGATAATCCTTCCCTTAGTAATTTTAAATAGCTGGTTTAAAGGAACAATAATACGTGCTGTTTCTGGAAGGCTTCCAATTTGCCCAAACATGATGCTTGTGCTAGAAAAATGGGTCCATAAAGTAGCAGTAATGCACTGGAAATGGCAAAGAGCTTAAAATCTGCAGAGCTGCAAGGTACTTGCAAAAGTCAGGCTCAACTTCAGAGGTCAGGAAGGGAAGAAAATGTATTAAAGTAGTAATTTTCTTCTTTAAGAGAACTGCTCAGAACTAATTACTCTTAATTAAAACTGAGATTTACTTAGCTTCCTTCATTGGCAGCATTTTTGAATCAACAAAGTGAGTTTTACAATAGACGGGTGATTGAAGGTCCAGACCGGTGGTAGGAAGGTCTCTTTAACTTAGAAGTAAAATTGTGGGAGAGGGAAGGAACCAAAGACACTGTCCCTTCAGTTTAACTACACCCCATCCTCCTGTGAAGTATTTGCTTGCTCCATCAAACCAGAAGCACCCACAAATGTGAGCAGCATCTCAAAAATTACTCTGGCCATTTCATGAGTCACTGCCAAATCGTTCACATGTATGCAATCACATTTCTTCTGAAACCCAAAATATTGGAAAGGATTAAAAAGCTTCTGCAGCAAGCATTTGGCATCTCACCTGGGCCTGGAAATGGGCAATCAACCATCAGCTTCCATGGCACAGCATTATTGATAGGACCCTTTGCCAGCACCTCCCGGAGAAGCCCCTTGCCCCCCGCCTGCCTGCCTCCCTCCACGCAGCTCCCAGGGGATCCCCTCCAAGCTGGCAGCATCTGCCTCGTTTGCCCCGTTGGCTCCAGTGCCAGTGGCGAGTTAATTTTTAGTCCGATGAAAGGCTGAATGTGAGAGGCAGCAGCAAACCTCTGTTCTATAGCAGAGACAGCAAGAAGCAAAGTGCACCCACCTGTTTCTAATCTGAGGTTGCATGGCTACTTCCTGCAGAGTGTGTCAGGCTGTTTTTTCCTGCTCACATTTGAAGAAGCAAGCGAAGGCGGAAGTTTCTAACCGCAGTACATCTAACACAAGTTTTTATTCCATCTCACCCAATCACTCGCTTTTCTGCCCCAACAGAACTTTCAAACCACTTTTTTTATTGGCACAGTGAACTGTAAATTAATATTTGATTTAATGGTCCTATATAAAACACTTCATATGTTGCATAAAATGCATCACCTTAATTTTACCTCCTGAGAACAAAGAAAATGGGCCCTGGTTTTCAGTGCTGCCCGGAGGATTTTGTTTGAGCTGTGGGGAAATAGCCTGATGCAGGGCCACGATTCAGCAGAGCACCTAAGGCTAAGCAGGTGTGCCGGAGCATCGTGGCACTGGGTCCCCTGACCTGTGTTTGGGGCCCAGAACACGTCCCCAAAAAGAACCAGGGCAGAGCATGTCCTGGCGAGGAACAGACTGGGTGGCCGGGAAGGCTGTGTGCGTTGGGTGGGGTTTTTTAGCCATTGTGTTCCCAGCTTAAGAAACAGCCTGCCTTTTCCCCCATCCAGCATGGTGTTTGCCAGCGCTTGGATGCAGCCGTTTGGTGCATCTAAAATTTTTATTTTGGGGGGGGGTGTGGTGGGGGGGGGGGGGGGGGGGAAATTGGTTCAAAATATTTGAAACTTGTTTTGACTAGGAAAGATAATTTGGTGGAAGATGGTTGTTTGGGTTCATTCCATTTTTTCCCCACTTACACACTTCTGTTTGCTTTTTATTTAAGAAAAAGTGGGAAAGGCAAGTATAAAAAAAAAACCTTATAGAAGAAAAGGGTTTTACACTTCCTGTTGATCTGAAAGCAAAGTACGTTTTGTAACAATCTTTTGGGGGACAAGAGGGAAAAACTTCAAGCAAAGCAGCCCCCTAAATTCTGAGTTTGTGTTCAACCCTCCCTAAAAAGAAAGGCGACAGCAAGGAAAGAGGCAGGGCAAGCAGCTACTTGCAGGCGAACGGTTCGGCACAATGTCTTGCCTGCTAGGTGACAGCGTTGCATTTTAAACCTGTAAATCTCCACACCTGTAAAGCACCGAAGCCAGGCAGAGCTAGAACTTAGCTCTGAGAAAGAAGGGGAGACCCGTGGGGTGCTCTTGTTTCTGCACACAAGCCCTGTCCCACTGAGGCAAAACTTGCTCCCAGTTTTTTTTGCAGGAATCGACTCGTGCAGCTCACCAGTACCTGCCAGGATTTTTCTGATGCTTGCAGCAGCGTGGAGAAAAGCTCCTGCAAAATCACCATCTTCTGCTTGAGCAGCAGCTCGCGGTGCAAGGCCTCCTGTGGGGAAGGGGAGAACCGGTCAGCAGGGACCCTCGGAGCTGGTGGGGACCCTCGGAGCTGGCGGGGACAGCCCAGCTACCCCTCCAGCTCAGGGTCGGGGCTTCCTCTGCTTGGGGGGGGTTTCAGACAGATCTTTGGGTTCAGTGGCTTGTCTGTAGGCTTTCCTGGCCATGTTAAAATTGGGTATGTAACACCTCTTTGTTTAATAATAATTATAATTTTTAAAATGTTGTTGTACTGACTGAAGACCTGCCTTCCAGGTGGGTACGTACAATATTTGGTACCTACCTTCAGGTAGTTGGACAGCTGCACCATTTCCTGAAAGGGAAAGGGCGAATGTTTAAAAACAACAGGATTGCTTCAGTTTATAAACATTTTATGAACTGGCTACAAAACCCAAATATTTTGAAATAAAACTGACGCTAGCAGCCGAGTCTGGGCAGAGGAGGAGAGCCTGCTGGGCTTCGTTTGTTTGCTTTTTGCAGGGAAATGCAAATACTTTCTGCAGCAACTTACAGCATTGGAGTTATGGCATCTTTGCAATGTAGTATGTCAAACCAGGGCAGTTATGGAATGAGAACAGTAGATATCCATGGGACAGAAGTGTCTTTCTCTCCTATAGGAGCAGTGTCATCGTTTTTGAAACTATAGAAATTTAGCACCAGTCAATGTCCCAGTCAGAAATTCTAGAAGCTCATTTCTTTTGCAGGAGTTCAAGGCTAGTTATTATCTGTGTTTCGCTTACCTTATTTAAAACTGCTGTTCCACAACTAAAATAAAAAAGAAAGCGTGTTACTGAGGTGAGGGTGATGCGGGGGTCCGCAGCAGCCCATGGCTGTGGATGCCAGCTGCGCCCCAGCCCCAGCAGAGCGTGGGTATTTGTACAGCAAAAGCTTGCGCCGAGGTGAAACGTGTCTGGGCTTGGGCATCGGAGGCTGCTGTCCTGCCGGTATCTGAATTCCCAGCCCGGGGAGGGAGGGGAGGACCAGCTTACTCTGTCTGCTGGCTTGAGTCTTTCACTCCTGCACTTGGATTTGTAAGGGTCTGGGTTCCTGTGAAAGCAAAGCGAAAGGATGTGAGATCCCCCTGTCCCAGGGGCCATGAAATTCTTCTGAGTGTCCATCCTGGCTGCCTCAGGGATGGCATGGCTTCTAAGATGGAGAGCAGTTGTTTAAACAGCATCCAGTAACACAACTCAGTAGGGACCAGAGGCAAAGAGTCCTGCTCAGACGGACAGAGAAATAAGTAATTCTGCAGACTGGAGTCAGCCCCCAGCCCCAGATAATCGGGGGCACTTACAGGGAAGCCGTAGGGCAGAGCATCTGCTCAGCAGCGCTGGTTGTTATGCTGTGGGCTAGGCTGGTTTATAGCTCCACAGGAAAAAGTATTCTTAACACCTGCAAGCTGCAGGGGAAACTCGGACTGGGATGGTAAAACTTAGCGCAGATGTGGGGCTGCTGGCAAGGGGAGCTACCAGCTCGCATCCCAAACCGCTCGATGGAGGCTTGGACGTGGGAGGGAAACGCCGCGGTTGCTGTTGTGCTCAGAAACCCAGCATCCCTCACCTACCTTGGGTGTTCATAGAGGCACCTCGTCTGGGGATGGCCCCTGCTGAAATGCTGAGGGGGACGCTGAGCAGGGAGCGTGCAGGGGCGAATGTGGGGCAGCTCCGTGGGTGCTGGAATGAGAGGGCAGCTCAAGTCAGCATCCTTCCAAAACGGGCTGTGAGGAATGGAGGGGAAGGGGCTGTGGCTGGGTCAGGCTTTGTCCCTGCAGTGACTGGGTGAAGAGCATCAAGGATATGCCAAGAAACCATGGCAAATCCACAAGGATCTGCTGCTTTGGTTGCAGCAGCTCCAGAGCTCTGTGGGGGAGCGAGGGGGAAACCTGCTGGCTTCTGGGGGGGCACACCAGAACAGGACAAGGAACCCCCCCAAGTGTCTTGAGACACATTTTTTTTTTTTTTTTTTTTTTTTTTTAAAAGATGAGGACTTTTGGTGGCAGGGAGCTGTGTCCTGGTTTGGATCTCTGCTATCATTTGGCTGCCTTGGAGCAGGCGTACCTGTTCTGCACTGGCTTCCCTCTGGGGCTGGGGGAGCAGGGTGCTCGCCCCATTGCCCCTCTGCCCCCCGCAGCCTCCTGCCCCATGTTACTTCTGCAAATGCTGCCTAGTGGGTGATTAAACCTGGTGAACCAAATGGCAGCAGGAGGCAGGTAACTGCTCTGCACGCTCTCCTGCTGCAAAGGGATCTTGAGGGCGTGCCTGCATAAGTTATCTTGCCTTTGACTGTCTCTGCTCACATAGGTTTGTGAAGCCCCTAGGATGAAATCACAGAGTACCAGGGGAATTGTTCATTTTGCACGGGATAAAAGTTTAGAAGGAAATCGGTTTGGCTCTCAGACTGGGGTGTTTTGCATTGCATCTTTCTATAGATGTTATTCAAGGCGCTGAGCCCTCTGGGTTGCTGTTAGCTGTGCGGCACAGGGGAGGTAACGAGTACCAGGGAGTCTCTGATACCTGCACCCTCCCTGCTAACAGCAAAGGTGATGGAGGGAACCCAGGTATTTAGAGCTCAGTTTTTCAAGGGCAAAAATAATTTGTACAAGTGCAAAACTGTAATCTGGCAGCTAGGATGTGGGGTTGTACTTGGAGAAATGGTGAAAAATCTCCATCTGGTTCAGGGTTTGGAAAACCGGAGAGGAGCACGGCAGGAGGGAGGTGACAGCGTTTACCCATGCCCAACTGCAGTCCATAGGAAATGCACTTTTTTGTTGGTGCATTCTCACTTTTTGTCTGTACTTTGATTTGGATGCCAGTGCTGTTGCAATCGGTGGACAGGCTGTGGGTGCTTTAGTGGGTGCTAGCTGGAGCAGGCAGAGCACTGAGCTGCGCTCCGGGGGCAGGCGTTACCTGGAGCAGGACGGGTGGGCTCCACTCCACCCGCGAGGAGGGGTCCAGGGGGACGTGTGCTTTGGGCTCCTGTCCCGGCGGTGTCCTTCCAGCAGCGCTTGCCAGGTTTCTCCTTCTCAGGAACTCCCTTTGCCGGGGGCTCTGCGATGGCTCCTCCGCTCCCCTCCTGAGGCGGCGGCAGGTCGTCACGTTGTTTCGCCGCCGCAGGTTCTCCCGCGTCTCGTGCCGCCGCTCGCACTTCTCATCGTAGCTCTCGTGCCTGTGCCGCAGCCGTGCCTTCTCGGGCTGGCTGATCATGTTGGGCGCAGCTCTGCCGGTCTGCGACCACGCCGTCCACTCTGAGGTCCTCTGTCCTGATGAAACCAAGGGAAAAGACATGATTTGACTGAAAACAGATCATTTCTAAAATAAATGAATGTGAGGTATTGGACACAGATTCTGGAGTCCTCGTGCAATGGATGCAAGTGGTGTTCCTGGAGAAATCTGTTGTCCGTGAACTCGTATGCGTTGGCTGTGTGAAGCACACTGTGCTGTTCTCTCTCCTCCGTCGAGTGGTGCTGACCCAGCAGATGCTCGGAACAGAACTTCAAACAGTTAACACAACCTCATGAAGTTGGCTTCGCTACCAAGTAATGATGCTTCCACTGCTTCCTCTGGAAGAATTCCTTTCCCGATAAAATAAAATCCCTCTGTTATTCAGACTATTTCTTTGGTGCATGCTCTTAGGTTGGCAAAAGAGCTCTAAAGAAAACAATGAAAACACAGGCAGAGCAATAGTTGCTATGTCCGCAATAAACCGCTTTTAAGCGTGCATTTCTTTTACCAGTTTGTTGTTTGTTTGGTTTTTTTTATAGGTCCCGATATAGTGGTGCTGTGGTGTGATTTACCCTTCAAGCAGTTGCATTATATCCCTTAGTGGTGGCTGCCTTTTCTGTGTGCACAGAGAGGTCTGGAGCAGTGAAAACCTTGCAGTGTTGTAGGGGTGGGTTGTTTGTTGGTTTTTTTGGGTTTTGTTTTTTTTTTTTTTTTTTTTTTTTTTTTTTTTTTTGTTAATGGAGCATCTGGCAAAGTCCCCGCAGGCCTGAGCGCACCCACTCTCTGGAGACCACAGCTACTGAGTGCTGCTTTCTCTGACCTCCTGGTTGCTCGCTCCCTCCCCAGCTCCTGGCTCGGATGCCGCATAACGCTTTGCCCTCCGCTCGTCCACCTTCGCTTGTCCTCCTGCAGCCTTGCCGGCTGCAGCCCTGGGTCTGTGTGTTAGCCAAGCTGCACCTTGGCTCCTTCATTGCAAATAGAAGTGTAGCGATTGATTGTTACGTTTTGGGATTAATTCGTTGTTGAGCTGTGCTCAAGAACTGGGGGGGCACAGGCTCTCAATGGTACCAGTTTGCCTCAGGCACGGATTCTGCCTCCATGTTTGGGCCACAAAGTCCCCAGAAAAGGCAGTGGCCTGGCCGAAGGAGGAGCTCCTCTGCTTCAGCACTATTGTACCATCTACATGTGCATGCAGGGTGTAGATATGAAACCTTCTCCCTCCTGCTGACTTCTCTGCACAGTTGCAAGCCACTGGTGCATTGTTTTTTACTGGACTTTGGCCGTATCAAGTGTTTTTGAGCCTTTGCTTCTGCATCAGTGAGAGAAAGCTGAGCAATAACTACCTACAACTGCTCCTCTGCCTTCCTCCCCGTGAGCGAAGGCTGTGTCCCCCTCTCCTGTCCCCTCACCCCATTGGCAGTGGAGAGGCTTATCGTCCCCGTGCACGTCCCATGAACGATGCTCGGAGGGTGCCTGGCCCCAGGGGGCTCAGCCTGGGAGCTGCTGTCTGGTGTGGGGCTTTTCTCATGTTCAGTAAATCATGTTAATGTAGGAAGGAGGGAAAAGAAAAAAGAATTTTAGTCTCTGCAAATTCAGGTTAAATGTTCTTCAGTGTTGAACAAAACCACCAAAACTTCATTGGTCTTATTCTGTCTCAAGCAATTAGGAAGTTGTGGAGTCTAATGGGAAAAAAAATGGGAACAAGTAAACCCCATTTACATGTATAATACTTCCGTGCTTTTTAGTCTGCATTAAAATCTGCTCCGTAATTCTCTTCATTGTCCTTGTGCTAGCTGTGGTGTACCCAAAGCTCGTAGCTAGTGCTGCCTTTTCACTGAGGGGCTTCCTTTGGAAGGAGAGCGGCGCTTTCGGGGCGGCCAGCTCTTGCTCTGGGCAGGGACGGTGCCTGCAAACCCACAGCCAGGACACTGCTCCCAGCGCTGAGCCCACCTGGGATGTGGGCTTCGAGACCCCTTAAGTATGGCACTTGCTGAAAGATTAGGCATTGCTCACTTACGTGCTTTTATTAATTTTTATTTGAATATTCTCTTCTTTGAATAGCTGCTGAAGCATCTCTAATTTTAGCTTAAACTTACTGAAGGATCCCAACAGTGTTTCACTATTTGGGTGTTTCTTACTGCGATACACTTTCAACTGGAGGAGTCTGGGGGTATAAAAGCCCGAGCAGGTTATCCCCATGCAGCTTTCACGTCCGTACCACAGCAATCCTGCTGTGCTCACCCAGGGCCTTTCCTCCTGGTGCACACGTGCTTTCCTTGGCCCAGCAGGCAAGGCAAGGTTTGGCCAACAGCTTCGCACACAGAAATGCGAGTTGGGCGCATGCCAACATCCAGCAACGTGCCCCCTTGAAGCCTGAGGCTGGGTACAAACCCCATAGCTCGGGACAAAGTGTGTATCTACAGCCAAACCTGCTCCAGACACTTCAGGACACTTTAAAAGCCTTTTTCAACTCATTTTTCTTAATTTTAGGAATGGCCCAATTCTGTGTTGAATCTGGGCCTCAGATGTCCTGCTCGGTCCCCGCTCATCCAGCTCTTCCCGTCAGGAATAGCTCAGCCCCTCTCCCACCTGCGCTGTCTCTGGGCTGCCCAGCCTGTCACCATGCATCCCAACAGCACCTCTTGTAAGAGCCTCTGCTAACCAAAAATCCGCTTTAAAGCAAGGTAAAGCTTAAAGAAATACACGGTCCATTACTCACCCCAAGCTGAGCAAACTGTTGAGGCCTTTGTGACAAGCTAATACTCTATTTCCTCCTTCTGTT